TTAGAATAAAAACTATTATCATGTTTTCTTTATTAAATGTGCTGTTTAGAACACAACGAAATGAACATGAAAATTAATATATTTATATAGTATCGTCCAACCTTGTAATGTCAATTTATATTTTTTAATTTTCATTCAATGAAACAACAAACTGTCATATAAATTAATTTGTGTCAAAATTTTAAATCACTTTTTTTATATTTTGGTTCTAATAATTCTAATATTTAAAATGAAAAATATATAAAAACTCTTTTTGTGTTTTATTTGATACACTAATTATGTTTAATGAATACAATGAAACAGTGATTACTTTAAGGTTTGAACAAGTTATATATATCATGTTCTAACACAGAATGTAATGACAACATTTTTATTTTACTTCAATCCAATGACATTTTTCTTATTATTTATTTATGAAATTCAATAAAAATTTTTTCTCAAAAACTTATTTGTTTTATTTTTCTTTAGTTTTTGGTTTAAATATTAAAATTTTTCTTATTTGTTTTTTCTGGTTATTATTTGTTTTTAATAAACTTTTAATTTTATTATTTGAAAAAGCGAATAAAGTGCAGTTTTGAGCATATTATTCAGCAACATTCCCAAAACAGCATATTTCTAATTTTTATAATTATTTTCTTTAAATTGAGCAAAAAAGTTCTTTTGTGAATAAAATTATTTATTTTATACGAAAAGATAAAATGCCATTATTTCTTTTTCAAAAAACGATTATTTAATTGAGGTTTGCAGCCCTGGCTAAAAGCAATTAAAATACGACAAATGGTCTAAAGAAACTATAATTTATTATTTTATACTATAATTATAAAAAACAGTAAAAATAACACAAATAACATTAAAAAAGTAAAAAACAAAAAAATAAAATCACATTGAATCAATTTTTGTCAAGCTTTTTAATTCGTCTAAAAGACAATCTTAAAACAGGTTTTTCTTTTTCATCATTTTCTTTTGGTCCTTTGATGCTCTTTTTACTTCCCTTTCTTTTTTAATTCAATTTGGAAAAAAGTAATGCTGTCTTTCTTTTCTTTTGAGGCAACGGAAATGGTTTTAGAATAAATTGTTTAAACAATTCTCTGTATTGGGGTGTTTCCATAAATTTACAGTGTTTAATTAATACACGACACTTTGGGGTGGTTTATCAATCCAGTTGACTGTGACAGCTTGTTTAATACAATAATATTAAAAGAAGGTGTTGTAACCACAAATAAAGAATCCACCAATATCATCAACTCTCTTGGTTTGTTTCCGAGTTCGATATTGTGAAAATTGTTTTTCCAAAACAAATTACCATCCACATCTTCCTTCTCAAATTCTTTTTGAAAAAGCAATTTTTCAAAACTGTCTTTCGTTTTAATAGAAGATATTCTTCTTTTAAACCTACCAAATAACCCCAAATCAAGAACTTGAAGGAAATGAGAATCATACGGAGTTAAGATAACAAAGGTTGTGTTATTTTCAGAGAGCAACACGATGAATTTGATACATCCAAAAATTTGGTTGAATTGTCGAAAACCATTGCAGTTGCAGGTTTGGTCTTTTTGGTATTGTCCAAATAAATGCACATGTACAGCATTATCTACTGAAATTAATTTTCAGTTCACCTTTAATCTATTTTGACAATGTTTTAGAATAAAGTAAAATTTTAGTTTATTTTGAAATTCTTGCAATATAAAGAAAAATTGTCGAAATGAAACACAATCTAAAATCATAATTTCAAAAAACTATAATATGGTTTCTTTAGACCATTTGTCGTAAATTTACACCTTTTAGCGGGTGACTATATATTATTATTTATAATATAATATTAATAATATTATTATTTAATTCACACATCAAACCACAACCCAACAGATGAACCAAATTATATAAACATTCCACATAACACACATCGGATTACAAGTGTTCCACATAATAATATCAAACCCGCCAACTTCACACAAAGAGGAAATTGAAACAACAAGCTTAAAAATTCCAAAATGAAAATATCTCGTTGGTGAGAGCACGGTTGTTGTTCCATATGTGGGGTGACAAGATCTGATTTTTCGACTTTATCAACTTTTTTTGTTATTTTGATTTTGTCGTCTTTTTTGTTTTCGACTGGTTTGACTTCTTCAATTTTCGTGGGCGTTTCTTTGATTTTTATTTTTTCTAAATTTTCGATTTTTGGCACTTTTTCGATTGTGTCGACTTTTTTGAGTGGCCACACAAAGAGTTTTTGACTCGAATTATCACTTGTGTCGATTTTTTGGCCCAGACCGCTTTTTTGTTCTGGAGGTTTTATGATTTCGCATGGTGGGACAGCGACCGACATAGATCGTTTGATGTTACTTGCCCTTTTAATTGGAGGAGTGTCTACATGAGTGATTTGAGATATTTTAATGAAATTGCAAAAGTCCGAGAATTGGATAGTGTTATCGTTAAAGAATTTTACGATTTCTTTATTATCGATACTGTCGTCAACATCAATTTTCATACTTTTTGCACGATTCCCAGTCATTTTAGTTGGCGCTTCCAAATTCGAATTCATGATATTTTGGTTTTTTTGTTTCTCTGAATTCAGTCTTTCGATATCCTTTTTGAGTAATAAAGTCTTTTCATAAAATGCATTTCGTTCAAAAAGGATGTCACTCTCCTTGACTTGGTGTAAAACGATCTTATTATTAATTACCTCAATCTCATAATTCGCCTTTTTAGTCCCATTTTTGTTTAACGCCCCGATGCGTTTTAATACTTCAGCATGGCGCTTTTTCTCTTCGCATATTTGATCAGTTAAAGCGTTCAAATGATTTGAATGGGCACGGATAGTATCAACAGCGGCTTGAAGTTGTTTTGTGCTTTGAGTGTAGAATTTGAATTGATCATCTCGTTCTTTTTGACTCTTTTCTATGATCTTGGACGCTCTCTTAATGACCTTTGCAAGTTCAATGGATACTTCATGGATGTCTTCTGTTTCAAATAAATTTGAATTCTTTAGAATTAAGTAAGTGAATCTTTCCTTATCATCACTCAATTTGATGCATTCTTTGTCTTCCAAATCATCATCTAATTCTTCGTCCAACTCTTCGTCTAGATGTTATTACGACTCAGAAATAGTTACTAATAAATTCTATAAGAAAAGAAAAGTTTATTAGAGTCAAGTTAAATAAAAAGAAACCTGATAATAATGGATTCGTCTTTTCTTCACTCGAAGATAAATCACTGTGTTCTTCAAAACTCTCTGAATCACTTGTACTGTAATCCATCTTATGTTTAAATGTGAGTTATATGTTTGATCCATGATAAAATAGTTGACCTCTCGTTGGTTCATTCAATTCCATAAATAACATTGATAATTTATTATAATTTATAATATATTTATTATTAAGTATTAATTAGATATTTCTATTTTGAGAGAAATTGACTTCAAAAAAAATTTTAATACTATTTTTTACTAAAAATGGATGATAAAGGAAATAAGAAAAGTGAGTTGTTGTTACAAATAATGTGTTTTTTTATATTAACAAATTTTAACTTTTTAAATCTTTTTTTTATTTCAAATACTTTTTTTGTAGTTTTTAACTTAACAAGAACAATAAATTATTTAATTTAATAATATAATATAATTTTAATACTATAAATGAAAAGTTTTTTGTTGGTTGTTTTCTTTTGATTTCTCATTTGAAAAAAAACAGAACTACGAAAGAAACTGTAAAATAATGAAAACGGAGAAAATTATTAGCAATCCCGAATCTTTTGAAGATCCGAATAGTTTACTCGTCCATGTGAGTTTTATTTATTCTTTATTAGACCGACTTCCTTGGTATTTTTCAACTTTAGTAGTTCTTCCAATTCTTGTCACTTCATTCTTTTTCGGACCAATTTTAACTTTTTTACTCTTTTTAACTTCGTTTTGTATTACTCAAATATTTATGACAAAATATCCAACTCACTTCCACGTGTTTGCAAATCGGAGTCTTTTCATTCTTTTTATTAATTTTGTTGCCGTTTCTGTAATGTCACGATTACACAACGAGCTTTCGTTTTTACTTGTTGTGCATTCTTTCGTTTTGTTCGAGTTTTATACGAGACAATGGCTTTATTTTTATACATCAAAACGAATTACAACGTGGCCAATCATTTTTTTGTTTTTCGCACTACTCTTGTTGTCAAATTCCAATGTTTTAAACAAAATAGTTATTTTCAAGACACATCTTTCTGTTTTTGTGGGACTTTTCTTGGTACTTTTCTTTGGTATTTTAACTATTATTGATATCATAATTTTACTATTACAGACAAACACAAGAAGGTCCATAACACAAATATGTGTCAAAATGTTCCCAGCCTTTTTAATTTTAGTTGGGACACTTCTTAAAGCAAATTCAGTCGGAGTCAAACAAACGAATTATTTCGTTTTGATGGTTCCCTCTTTTTTACTCGGCATTGATGTTCAACTTTCTATTCATTTTTCTAAATTATTTTTAACTCAATTCAAGTGTAACGGATTTGCCATTTTGTTGTATTTTTGTTATTCGTTTTTGTTTTTTATATTATGCAAAGTAATGGGATTATCAGTGATGTTTGTGAATTGTATTGGGATTGGAATGTTCGCATTTTCTTTAGCAAGGACTGTCTTACTTACTTTTTGGCAAGTCAAACAATTGGAACCGTCGTATTTAACTTCTTTGTGATTACACACCAATTTAAAACTAATTAACGTATTATTTTTTATTTGATAATTAACGAATATTGTATATTTTTCAATGAAAATTACTGAAACATTTACAGGTAAAAAACTAAAAGAATAATATGTTCGATTATTTCTTGAAAAAATAAAAAACAACTTTAACTATTACTTTTGGTAATTAAAAAATGACACTAAATTACCAATTGTAATAAATAATTTAAAAAAACTTATTTTAATTTATAGAATTCAGTTATTATTCGTCTAGTTTCTAAAAACCAAAATAATCATAAAAAATTATTAAAAAAATGGACAGAATTAGAAAAGTCATTATTAGTGATATAATAATTATAATAATATAATATAGTACAGTGATCTCGCCAAAGTATCGAGGAATAATACAATACAAGTAAATTGACAGAATCTCGATGAATCAAAACCATTTTGAAGAATTGAAAATATACCCAAAACTCCATTTTTTTCAATTATGTATAATAGTTATTTTTATTATGTGAAATAATTATTTTCTCGAATAACGGCACTTTTGGTAAAAGATAATCATTCAATTTTAATCAGAATGAAAATCACTTTCTCGGAGATGGAATGGCACAATATATTTAAAGAGGAACTTAGAGGACAAAGCCATTCGAAATGTTTACACTTCTCTTTGCGATAACAGCAGTCTTCGCAGAAGACTGTTTCAAATGTGAAAAAGATGGACTATACTGTGTGAAAGATGGGAAGCACGACGAAGAGTACTACGAATGCTCCAAAACGTTTAAAGGGTACAGACCATGTGCTCCTGGGACTAAATGTACAGCTTCTGAGCGAGTGGATTATGGCTATAATCCATGCACTACAGGTGAAGAGTCACATTCTAAAACAGAGGAGTCCAAGTCAAAAGATAAGTCTAAAGAGCCAACAACACCTTCAGTAGATAAATCAGAAGACAATATCTGCAAAGGGAAGAATGGGTATTATTGTGTGAAAGGTGAAGAACACAAATACTTGTGGTGTACTGATACATACAAAGGATATATGAACTGTCCTAAAGGAACACATTGTGGATATGATGGTAAAGCACCTGATAATCAATCTCCTTGTGTCTTAAATGAAGAGTCCAATAAGAAGTCAGAAGAGAAGAGTACTTCAAAATCGTCTGAGAAGTCGAAAGAACATTCACAATCAAAATCAAGGGAACCAGAAACTCCATCAGTAGAGAGCCCTTCAGAAGATGATATTTGTAAAGGAAAAGAGGGGTTCTACTGTCTTGAAGGTAACAAATACATCCATAAGTACTTGTGGTGTACTGACACCTTTAAAGGTATAATGGATTGCCCAAAAGGAACTAAATGTGGATATGATGGAAAAGCACCTGATAATCAATCTCCTTGTGTATTGGATGAAAACTCCATACAAAAGTCAACTGAAAAGTCTAAGGAACCAGAAACTCCATCAGTAGAGAGCCCTTCAGAAGATGACATCTGCAAAGGAAAGAATGGATTGTATTGTGTAGATGACGGTAAACACATCCATGAATTCTTGGTGTGTACTAAAGACTATAAAGGATACATGGAATGCCCAAAGAACACACAATGTGGGTATGATGGTAAAATACCATGTGACGAATCTCCTTGCATTTACCCACCACATTCAACAGAGTCAACTTCAAAATCAATTGTTACACCTTCAGTAGATAAATCAGAAGACGACATCTGTAAGGACAAAGATGGGTATTATTGTGTGAAAGGTGAAGAACATAAATACTTGTGGTGTACTGATACATATAAAGGATACATGAACTGTTCGAAAGGAACACACTGTGGATATGATGGAAAGGTTCCTGATAATGAATCGCCTTGTGTATTAGATACTGAATCATATTCAAAAGAAAAAAGTAAATCATCTGATATTTGTGAAAAAGATGGGTACATGTGTATTATGGATGGAACACATGATAAGTATTATTATGTGTGTTCTAATTCATATGAAGGATTTTTACCATGCCCAAAGGGTGAAAGATGTAATGGAAAGAAGTATATGAATTTCAGTGAAAATCCATGTGAAGTTTATGACACTAATTGTGATTCAACAAGTGAAAATTCAGGTTCATGTGAAGAAAAATCTTCGAATGAAAAAAGTGAATCAGTTGTAACTCCATCAGTAGAAAAATCAAAAGAAGAGTCATCAACTGAAAAGAGTCAATCAAAAGAACACTCTGAAAGCAAATCAAAAGAACACTCTGAAAGCAAATCAAAAGAAGAGTCATCAACTGAAAAGAGTCAATCAAAAGAACACTCTGAAAGCAAATCAAAAGAAGAGTCATCAACTGAAAAGAGTCAATCAAAAGAACACTCTGAAAGCAAATCAAAGGAACACTCTGAAAGCAAATCAAAAGAAGAGTCATCAACTGAAAAGAGTCAATCAAAAGAACACTCTGAAAGCAAATCAAAAGAACACTCTGAAAGCAAATCAAAGGAACACTCTGAAAGCAAATCAAAAGAAGAGTCATCAACTGAAAAGAGTCAATCAAAAGAACACTCTGAAAGCAAATCAAAAGAACACTCTGAAAGCAAATCAAAAGAAGAGTCATCAACTGAAAAGAGTCAATCAAAGGAACACTCTGAAAGCAAATCAAAGGAACACTCTGAAAGCAAATCAAAAGAAGAGTCATCAACTGAAAAGAGTCAATCAAAAGAACACTCTGAAAGCAAATCAAAAGAACACTCTGAAGCAAATCAAAAGAAGAGTCATCAACTGAAAAGAGTCAATCAAAAGAACACTCTGAAAGCAAATCAAAAGAAGAGTCATCAACTGAAAAGAGTCAATCAAAAGAACACTCTGAAAGCAAATCAAAAGAAGAGTCATCAACTGAAAAGAGTCAATCAAAAGAACACTCTGAAAGCAAATCAAAAGAACACTCTGAAAGCAAATCAAAGGAACACTCTGAAAGCAAATCAAAAGAAGAGTCATCAACTGAAAAGAGTCAATCAAAAGAACACTCTGAAAGCAAATCAAAGGAACACTCTGAAAGCAAATCAAAAGAAGAGTCATCAACTGAAAAGAGTCAATCAAAAGAACACTCTGAAAGCAAATCAAAAGAAGAGTCATCAACTGAAAAGAGTCAATCAAAAGAACACTCTGAAAGCAAATCAAAAGAACACTCTGAAAGCAAATCAAAAGAAGAGTCATCAACTGAAAAGAGTCAATCAAAAGAACACTCTGAAAGCAAATCAAAAGAAGAGTCATCAACTGAAAAGAGTCAATCAAAAGAACACTCTGAAAGCAAATCAAAGGAACACTCTGAAAGCAAATCAAAAGAAGAGTCATCAACTGAAAAGAGTCAATCAAAAGAACACTCTGAAAGCAAATCAAAAGAAGAGTCATCAACTGAAAAGAGTCAATCAAAAGAACACTCTGAAAGCAAATCAAAAGAACACTCTGAAAGCAAATCAAAGGAACATTCGGATTCTGATGAATGTCATTGTCACCCACATTGCCCACACCACCATAAATGTGAAGAAGGTAAATACTATTGTGTCATTGATGGTTTCCATAATGCTCAATATGTCAAATGCCACAATGGCCATCGTGAGTACAAGCATTGTCCTTCTTTCTTGTTCTGTCAGGGCGAGAAAAAAGATGGTTATGACCATATACCTTGCAACTGGCTTTGTGAAACCGATTGGTTTAGAAAACACTAATTTTAATAATTAAGTTGCTTATTTTTATTTTGTTAATTTTATTTAATAAATTAATAAATAATCAAAAAATCAAATTATTTTTTTATTTAACACTTTCATAACCCAAAACTTTTTTTTAACAGGTTAGATTTTTACCTTGTAATTATTTTAAAAGGGAGAAGTAATAAAAGGCAAATTTTAGTTTGGTTTAAAAAAAATAAAAGGGGAAACCTGTTAAAACTATAAGGCGGTTTTTTTTGTCCGCCAACAACTGAAAGAAAACAAATAACAATTGAGTACTAATTTGACTAACATGTGCCAAATATCAATTTTTGGAAAAGATTTTGGGGTTTCCAAAGTTGAGTTAGCTCACTTTGTTAATAAAAATGTTTTATAGGTGTGTTGACAACATTTGTACCTTTTGCCCTTCATTTTTTATCAATGAGTGTCGAGAGCAGCAATGTCCTTGACAGAGACCATTTCTATCAAGCATTTATTTCTGTTTTTGAATTTTTTGTATGACACAGAACAAAACAAACTTTATCAACTATGCGTTTATAATTCACGCATACAATTTATGTGTTCGTATTTTTTTCGGCGAACTCGTTAATAACATTATTATTATTTTTGAGTTTATCGTTTTCGGGTTTTTTAATTTTTTATTATTTTTAGAATAGTTTCATAAACTACATGTTTTTAAATGAGGTTCTTTTTCTGTTGATTTACGGTTGTGAAAAATATGATACTTTCAATTCGCACCATTTTATATTGAGATTATTTGTCGTTGGAGGTTTTAAAGTGGTTTAATTTAAAAAAAAAATCTAATAAAATGTGAAGTTATTGCAAATTTTATTAATCTGCTTGTATCATTATATCACAAAAAAATGTAAATGTACAGGGGTGAAACTGAAGGTATAAATTTGAAAGCGGATGTATTAATTTAGGGTTTTTTGATACCAAATTTGGCGTTTTTCTAGGTTTTATGATTCGTAAATTAAGCCAACCCCTTTGATTTGAATTTGGCAATGAAAAACAATGCAAACAAAATAGAAAGAATCGATAATTATGTTTTGTAACGATACCAACATATTTATATTTTAATTATATTTTAATTATATCAATGGTTATATAAATAATTCATCATGAATTTGTGTGTTTTTAATAATTAGCTAAAGTTAAAAAATGAATCAATAGTAATAATTGTTATAATTAAACCATTATAAATAGTTGACGGTGTTTAATAGTAAATTTGTTATTATTCAATTGTATTTTCAGGGTTTAAGACAAAACACAACCTGTTCACAACTTGATAAATATTTTAAGCGTGTTTAAACATGTGGGTGAGTATTGGCTTTATGGTTTGTTTATTTATTTATTATCAACGCAGTTATTACAAATTTTTTATTAACATATAGATTAATTAATGTGGCTCTATGAAGCACTTTGGTTTGTGTTTTTCATACTCAGGCCGGTCGTGAAGGCGTGAAACACAACCCAAATTATCGTAAATCATTTTTTGTCGAGTGTTGTTTGAATAATAACAAATTAATGATAAATTTATTATAAACATAAATAATAAAATGTATAGTAAATAATTAATATGTTATAATTTCTTGTGTTGAAAATTATAATAAATTTTATAATTTTGTAACTATAATATTAACTATATTTTCCTTTTCCAAAAATCGTGACTGTGTTGGAAATAGTGGTTTTTGTCCAGATTTACTTGTTTTTTTGTTGTAGTTATGTTGATTTAAATGGCTTGAATTTAATGTTTTACATGTTAGTTCGTTTTTAGCCAATAAAATGAAAGAAAATGAACCCTAAATTAATATATTCGCTTTCAAATTAATACCTTCATTTTCACCCCTGTATGTGATATTTGTTGAGTATCTGTAATTATATATAATATAAGAATGTACGTTTATTAATTTTTATCTTTCAAATACGATCTAGAATTTAAATTACTAATTTATTTGTGATCTTTTTTTCGAATTTTTTAATGGGCAAATTTTATTATTTGGTTAATAATAAACGGATAGAAATCCTTCTTATAATATAAAACTTGATTAATTCATATTATCAGTTATTTAATTTTTTTCAAAAACAAAATAAAAAACACGTAAAACGTGTGTACAATTGTGGGTTCAATATAACCAATAAGATTGGTTCAAACCAAAATAAAATAAGAACATAACAAAAATATTATTGTTGAAATAAAAAAAATGGATTCCACCAGGGTTAATCACGGAACAGGGAAAAGTGTGTATTTCTTTCCTTTTAATAATTGTTAATCATTATGATTGTTTAAATCCTTTTATTTAAACTGTTATTACTGTAAACTACTAAAGAGAAATTATAGAATATCAATTATTAGAAAATAATTATTTTAGACTTTGTATATCAAATTTAATTTTTACAATTATTAACTTTTAAACGAAAGCAATGATCATTTTTTTGCTATCATGTGGATAAGAAACAAGTTATAATTGATAATTGTTGTAAATAAATATATTCTCTTTATTTTATTGTGTTACTTTATAAATTTTGTTTGATGTTTCATGATTATATTAAAATGTTTAAGCATTTTAAATATTATAACAGAGTTTATTAATAAAAATGTAATAATTAATAATGATATTATTAGACCAATTCATTTTATTTAATATAAACAATTTATAAAAGAATTGTGTATCCATTAAACTGGAACATACATGTCGTAGTGTTATCAAAATACAATTCTTATTTTGTGTATAATTAAACAAAAATAATTAAAAGACGTTTTAAAAACATAAGTAATAATTAATAACATGCTATTGTCAATATAAGCTGTAATTTAAAATCTTTTTATATCGCCATGGTTATACAATATTATAAATAGTATTAATTTTTATGTATATTTGTTTGTTTTGTAATAATATTATAGTAATTATCCAAAAGTGACAAATAAAATTATAAATTTTAATGTCATTCTAATTTATGATTAAATTCAAAAAATGGATTATCAATAAATATTCATGAACACAATTGATTATTTGTTGTTTGTTAATTTAAATTGATATCTTGATAAATCTTTAAACCAATAATTAAAAACTCTATTTTAATGAGTTGAAAAAATAATATATTATATTGTCAATAGAGTATCAAAAAAAATACAATAATAAATTATAAATATGTTTCTATTTTTTGAGCAAATGTTGTTACCAATCAATAATTAAACAATGTGAAACCAAATATGATTAATAATATAAAAATACAACCAAAACACAAAGTTTTTGTTTTGGTTGTAAATAAATAGAGACACAATACTTTTTATATCAACTATTTTTTTTAATATTAATATTTGTATTTAATAATACCAACAATATAAACAACTATCAAATTGTTATTGTAATACAACATTTAATCGATAAATATTTAACAAAAGGAAATAAAAAATTTCGCATTGGTTACTGTTATTTATTATCTTGTCATTTTTTACTGAATAAATAATATTGTTAGGCCGATTTTTGTAAATTATTTTTAATTATAATTGATTTTAAAAGTTGTATTTGATTATGTGAATATTAAATGTATTTAACACGATTAAGTAGTGGACTATTTTATTTTATTTAAAATACGATTAATTTGTTTTTTACCACTTGGCCAAAATGAAAATTGCATTGAATGTTATTGTTCTTTTTTATTTTTTGATAACACATAGAGTTTTTTATGTTTTGTTGATAGGTGTGTTTTTCAATAAGCATCAAATATAAATTAATATTAAATTATTAACCAAATAACAAATTTACTATTCAAATGTTGTGGTTTTTTTGAAAAAATAAAAAATAAGCTAATTTCCCTAATATTTATTTTTCTAAAAAACAAAATAAACAAAAAAATATTTAGTAATTTACAAATTATGGCAGCAATCTAGTTAAAGTGAGGCGAGAAACCCACACCTGGAGAAAAACCCGCACCTTTTTTCTTTTTTCTTCCTTAAACCAATATTAATTGAAAAAACGTACACTTACAATTTTAACATAAAAAAGATGTTTCTATAATTCAAAATAAAATGATAATGTCATGGACTAAAATTTAACACGCTGTTTATTAATTAATAATTATAATTAAAAATACTTGTTTTAATACATAAAAAGTTTTATTGATTATATAAATAAGTTATATAAATTATATATTTATATAGTTTTTTTTAATAATAAAAACAAGTATTGAAAGTTTATTTCTTGTACATTTTAAAAAGATTAAACTTAACCTTAAATTGTAAATATTTTATCAAATTAATTATTATTAGTTATAGTTAAATAAACTATTAATTTGTTGTATAATAATAAATTAAACGATGTAATTAACTTTACGTTTCATGTTTCGATAACGTTGATACTCACATGTAGAGGTCTTTTACGTTTCCTAAACACAACGCTTAACACATACAATGCATAATAGATTTTACTACAACAGAGAAGTATAGATATTTTTTTCGTGTTGAACAAATAAATATATATCCTAACAGGTCAGTTTAATAATCAATGAAAATCAACACAAAATATCACAAAAAACAAACCTTGTATATTGATAAACTCTACTTGTTATATGTTATAAGTTCTAAACTTTGTGTTAATAAATATCCGAACCCAACATACAATGACAAACCAAAAGTTCAAAAACAAGATATGTAATATTACAACTTGTTTGAATATTAAAACATCCGCTGTTTTAAGTACTGTTGGTAAGTTATATTTATTTAACAACAGTTTCACAAACCATAAAAGGTGTTTTGAACATGACAGACGACTTAAGTAATCATATGAAATGTCTTTTTTAGTTTTCAATAACTATTAAATAATATAATTGTTCCATTTCTATTGATTACGATTTCTATTTTAAGTGGTGAGCATTTTAAACAATCTTGTAATTTTCTATTTTTAATTCAATATAAAACTTATTAATTTGGGTTTTTTAATTCTTTTTTGGTAATCGTTAAAATAAATCACAAAATAGTATTTGATTTACATGTTTAATAAAAAATTAAAA